TATATATATATATATATATATATATATATATTAGAATAATTGTTATACAGTGAACCAACTGTTTATAATATAATGTTAGGTTTCTTTTTCACCAAAGGTAAAAACTGAAAAGAGAATATGTGAAGCAGAAGCCTAAGGCATCATGCATATTGCGAACCGTGGTGTCTGTCTCGCGTTTACGGCGGCCGCTTGTTGCGCTGCGTTTGAAAAGCTGCGCACGCAGGCAAGGCTCAACATTGGGAGAAATATTCTGCACTAAATTTCAAAATGTGACGTAACGTAATGAATAAATATGTAGATTTACTCTCATAATGTCAGAAAAACACGTAGGTTCAATAAGTCTTAATATAAAATGACAAAAACCCTATAATATAGGTTTTTTTTTATTATTTTGGATGAAGATTTACCGTATGTTGTTGTTGAGTGGCTCTTAGCATGACTGAAATGCTCAAAAATTACATTTTGCAGTGGGCGGTATAAGTAGCTCAGAGCTTTGGCTCTGAGTGGAACTAAGAATGCAACACAATTAACCTCTTTTTTTTTTTAAAGTCCATAAAATAATTTAAATTGATAGATTTACTTAAAATTTCCCGTCACTGGGGACGGGTACTTTTGCTTGTTTTCTGTATATCTTTGGTTTGCTGAATCTAGCTGTACTGATGAGCCTTGAAAATGCGAAATGGCATTACACAGCAGAGGATACGATCAATCAGGGAATGCATTTGGACTCTACGTCACAGATTTTCCTCTCAGTTTTGGTGGAAACATAAAAAAAATCTGAAACTCGCACATGCACACACATATATCATTAAACTCTTGTATAATATCGAATTATGAATAAAGAGTAATGTCATAACATTATTCTCGCACTTAAATTAATTTAGGGTAATGTATGGTGAATTAAAAAGGACCCATAAATATTACACACACTTATTAGGATAATTGCGACCGAGTAATAATAAACATTTACGGTTACATACCTGAGCTTGTCAACCATAAAATAAAATATCACCCATAGGCGCCCTCTATTGAAATATTGATAAAATAAATCATATGTTGATTAAAATTCTAATTTAAAATAACTAAAACAACTAAACTCGTTTAAAACAAAAAGTAAATAAATTAATTTCTCTAAAACTAATTATCTAAGTTACGTTTCACCGATATAATTTGATTATGCATCACAAGATTCAGAGTTAATTAACTCTAACATAACTGATGGGTACTGTAAATGAGCAATACATAACACTTTAAAAAAGGAACTGAAACTATGCAAGGACTTATAATAATTTAGTCTAACAACATGTATTAGCCATTTGTTTATGGTACATTGGTTCATATTAATTTCTACTTAAAAGATTTATTAATTAAATACAATAATTCATGCTTCACGATGATAGGATCTGCATTTCACACCGCTAGAGTTTCGAGGTAGACATTTAAATAAAAATTTTATCTCTAGTAACTTTTAAGTGGCAAAAAGAAACATCTTTGACGTGGTGTAATCTATTCTGTTTATACCATTTTTAACTTGTTATAATCTAAAGCTGTACTTTAAAGTTCATGCCGTCTTTAACACAAGAAAAAACTAAAGTATAACAATCCCATTTATTTTACCGTTTCACTGATGTTTGTTAAAAGTTTTTGAAATGATTTTGGAGCACTTAAACTCAATAGGCAAAAAAGGAAATTAATACTAAAGTTCATATGTTTGCGTGATTTTATCTAATTAGCCATTCTTAGTTTAGAAATCAAAACATAAAAACCAATATTGAAAAATAAATGAAAAGTTTCATCTGAAAGTTGTACCAGATTTATCTACTTAAAGGCACAATTCCTATTCTAACATCAAACTTGTAGTAAGTAACGTTTGACAAGTTATATTGATTCATATGCTAACTAAAAATCATGTCAAATATACGTATTTTGAATGCGAATGAAAGTCTATCAAGGGATTTCTAAAAATTACTAAATTTGAATATTTATCATATAATTTGTTTTTCTAATTTTTCTAAGGCTATTTAAACTCGTGTTTTATACTATCAAGAATAATCTTGACATTCAAATTTATCACGTGAAAAAGTGGAAAGTAAAATAGTAAGGCACAAAAAATGGGTTCACTCCAATTTAGAATTAATATAAACAGAAGTTCACACCTAATCCTATTCTCAGGGCTGGGGAACTCTTGAGGAATGAAAGCTTGTTACCATGATAGCTTTTACATGGTATAATGTGAATTTTTTTTATATTTTTTTTTAATCTTGACGAGAATGTTCTTGATGTTCTTCCTAGTAACAATCAAAGTTTTCTTTTTAAATGCTAATTCGAGTTTTATTCTAATTTTGTTCTTTAACTTTTATTAGATCATAGATTATATCCAAAAATATAAGAAAATTGTACTAATTTGAACATTCTTAAATAAACAGAAAATTCTAGAAAGGTTATTTTGGCTCCCTAACTTTTTATTTAAGTAAAAAAAAAAAGAACAACAACTTACAGACAATGTCTTGAGTCAGTTAATTTTCCATATCCCAAACATATTGGATATATAAATAAATTCCAATCAAACTGCAATATCCATATTCATCATAATTCACAATGAATTGTTCAGTAAAATATCATCACAGACATATTAATATTTTTGAGCATAACCTTCATTTTTTGCAAATATTCACTAACAGAAAACAAAACGTAAGAGAATAATCTTAAAAATTTTTCAAACACACCAGTTCACAAGAACCAGAGTCACATCAGCAAGTTAGACTAGTACTACCTTACACACTGTGCAGTAAAACAACTTTTAACTGAGATGATGATAAGCTGACCAGATGAACTCTTCCTTTTCTTTAATCATCACGTAAATTCTTGGTATTAGCTTTGATCGACAAAGTTTTCTTATTAATAACAAGATTTATTAAATAATCAATGATTTATACACTTAAGTACCATGTTTTTAGTCCATCAAAAAAAAATTAAAAGGTTTTTGCCATTTTTTAGATATTGCTATAGAAACTAATATTGGAATTTTTTTAGTTTAGGATGTCTTGATGATTTTTGATCTGATCAAAAACTGTTTTATTGCCTTGTTAGGTAAATGACGTAGCGAGGGTTAATATTTATACTAATAAAGTAATACAAAACACTCAATGAAGTGTCGCATTTCAAATACCACAACACTTCTTTTTCTTCAAACCATATTGATAAAAATATTGGAACATTATTTCTAATTGACAACAATGTTTCAGTTACAGCACAATGATACAATTGAAAAGAGCCTCATGCTGTACGTTGAACATACGCAAAATTTATCTAAAGCAAGGCTGTTGTGGATATTTGGTAATTCTTCATTTTACATTATACATAAATATATATACACACACACACACACACAATACCTACAGACAATTACTGTCATTTATCTATCTCTGTGTTGAAGCAAAATAATCAGTATAACAATATTACTGTAGCAACACATACACACACACACACACCTACATAAAAATAGTCTTGATCTGACTGGGCTGAAATAGGGTTTATCCACCTAGATGCAGTAATCTCCAATGTCTCAAAATAAATGCCTAAATGATCAGACTGGAGCGATGTTTAACATTTCTATATCACTTTGTGACCTTACTCGTCTGTGACCCTCAACTTCTTTAGGTGTTTGCGAGACAGACTGGAAACTTGGTGACTGATGAAGGTTTTGTTTCAATGTTAGCCCCAGAACTTGAGTCAAGGATCCCTTTAATGATCAGAGAAAATGTGATCTCTACAACATAAGCTCAAAGCTAATTCTTTCTTTCAAATTCTTTTCATACTATTATTAAAAAAAAATATATATATATTAAATAACAAACTCATGAAATATTAGAGAGGTTGTAAACTAACTATAAGCATCACACTTAATAATTATATTACACACAAATGTAACGTTTGTGTTGGTATAAATGAAGACATACATACATCAAATTAAACTATGCTCAATATATACCTAATATATTAACTTCTACATTAACTTTACTTTGAAATAGTGCATTTAGCAAAAAACAAAAAAATGTGAAAAAGCTATTACCATTCATATTACTGGTGTGCTAAGGACTTCTTCTGTTATGATACACTCAGCTACAGGCAAGAAGCAGAAAGCATTATTAACAGAGGAAAAGAAACTGAAGTAGTATGAAAATAAATTCAGAAATTGGTGTCGCTAAAGGTAAGTGTGTAACAGAGAACTCAATCTGTAGCAGCAGTAAGTGTATAATCTAGAATCACTAAAAACACTGATACTTAAAGAACCTATGTTGGGTCATTACAGGGGTAATAAAAGTAATTTAGTTTGGATGAAACAGAGTGAGAAATTAAAACCATGTGCAATGCTTAAAACACTAACCATTACAAAAACCATGGACTCAGAAACAGATGTCATTAAGAAGAACGTTCTAATAATATTACACAAACCATGAGTCAGAAAACTGATGTCACTAGAAGAATGTTCTAACAGTATTACACAAACCATGAGTCAGAAAACTGGTATCACTAGAAATTGGTTTGTGTAATACTGTTATAAACTTCCAGTTTTCTGACTCATGTTATTAGAAGAACGTTTATAGCAGTATAGAAGTATGACAAAAAGAAAGTATTGGCAAGAACTAAACTGAACAATTGGTGGTTTTACTCTGATCTAATGTATGTATAGCTTAAGTAACTGGCCTGTCTATCTCTTGGTTACTGAACTTTCTTTGTAACACATTATTAAAGAAGGCAACATATCATATGTGATAATTAGATAGCATATTCTGTTCTGTAATTTTTGTTTTACTTGCAGAAGCATTATATATGAAATGGCTGAAACAGTGCATAGAACTTGACCAATATCAGTTGGCTGAAACAGTGCATAGAACTTGACTAATATCAGTTGGCAGAAACAGTGCATAGAACTTAACCAATATCAGTTCCAACAACTGCTGAAATACAACAAATGTGCGATTGTGGGGAAACAAAGAAATTATTAAAATAAAGTTTCACTTTTAAAATAAATTAACATACCTAGGCCATTGAAGAAAACATAATGCTAACACGAAGTGAAGTTCTAATATTCTATATAGAAATGCACATTAATATTTAGAGCTGGCTGAGCACTGATTAAATCGATTAGAGTTCATTAAATAATTGATTAATCAAAATTACTATTAAATCTAATGTTACAAAAATAATCAAAAAGAGTGTTTTCCAATTATTTCAACTCTCCAGCAATCAAAATATCATCACGTTTTTTCACTATTATTTTTATTAATTCAAATTTGTTCAGTTTAATTGATTACTGTCATGACTCCTTAAAATAATCAACTAATCACTATTTTCAATTATTTCAACTATATAAATAATTTATTAAAACCATTTGAAGCTTTGTTCTGTCAGTTTTGGTGCGTGTTTTAGTGAATACTCCTGAAGAAGCTGTAAAGCGAAACGTTGGGTGTCTAATTACATACAAAAAAGATTTTGGTGTTACAAGGTCATTTATTTCTAGTATTAATATGTCTTCTACACACAAATATGTACTACAGAAATTAAATAATGAGTCATCAATACTGTTCAAACTAAATTTTTTGTAGCAAAATGGCCACTATTTTCTTTCCCATCCTTATTACAATGAAAATATTGCATAAAATAATAAAATATACTTATCAAACCCAGAAACAATATTTACTAATATGTGCTACAAGTATGGAAAGAAATACAGAAATTTATAATTCCCTTCTTATGAAACTAATACTTTTACGTTATGTACACATTAAAACTTAATTTAAAATGTAGTATTCCAAACAATATGAAGACGTGAACATCGAAGTTAAAAACTTTATTATCCAAATGAAAATTTTGGGCCAGTGATTTTTAAATAGTTGTAATAATGATCATGACAAATCAGATTATAACAAAAGTAAAGTTTTTGATTTTAAAACTAACACTATTCAAAGTTTGTTTGGTTTATAGTAGTAATTCCTATCGATTATAAAAATTATAAGAAAGTGTAAGTAATAATGAGCTTAAGTTTAGGAATTCCAAAAAAAAACAATTCAACCGGCCAATATAAGGTACATTATGGTTAATCTGAGAGTACATACTAACATTCAAGCTAAAAAGGTGGCAGTTTCTTTTTTTAATTGCAACTTACCTGCGAGCTTTTCCAAGTTGAAAACTGTCATAAAAAGATTAGGTCAGAGAGTTAACAACAGATTGAAAAAAAAACCAAAAAAAAACACAAAAAATAAATAGTTAGGCTAATGATTCAGTTTCCAAAAACCTTTCTTGTACAGAAGAGAATAATATTTGTTTTTACATTGAGGACTTTTGAGTATATATTTTGAGTATAATCTTTATACACACATACACAAAAGAGCAGAGAACTAAAGAATCAATGGGAAACATAACAGATAAAATATATATAAAAGAGCTTTTTATAGAGCTTTGTATGATCCACTTACATAATAGGGAAAGACCTGTTACAAACTGCCATGACTTATTAATATGTACATGTACAGGGTGTCCCAGAAATCTGGACCCATAGGAAAAAAAGTACACAATTTATTCTTCATTTATTTATTATTCAAATTGCATGCCACTAACAGACATACAAATATTAATTCTTGGTACACTATACCATCAAGGTATTTTCTTTCCTGAAATATGTACAGCTGACATTAGAAATGTGCTTATTTCACTTTAAGAATATAATTCTATTTTCCCTACAAGTCCAGACATTTGGGACACCCTGTATTATCCAGTGTTCTAATTAAGCATAAATAATTTAGTATTTTAAGTTAGTTTCTTGGTAAGCTTATAATAAAACAAAAACATCTTATAAAAAGTTATTATCATTAATTTTTGGACATGAAATTTATTGAAGTATTATTAGTTCTGTGAGGTAGCCATCAGTGACAACTTAAAACAAATCTTCTTCAAACAGTATTAATCTATATGTACATATATATAGGCGTTGTTTGTTAACTATCACAATTGATGTAAGTTAAAACATTTCTTACCCTCATGTTTGTACGTCGTTTATCAGGTTTATCTAATGTTCCTCTGGAGTAAGATCTCATAAAACTTTGACATAGTGAGCTCGTGCCAATGCTTGAGGAGGACCCAGTGTTCTTTTTTTTGGTTTGTTAACTATCACAATTGATGTAAGTTAAAACACTTCTTACCCTAATGTTTGTACGTCATTTATCAGGTTTATCTAATGTTCCTCTGGAGTAAGATCTCATAAAACTTTGACATAGTGAGCTCGTGCCAATGCTTGAGGAGGACCCAGTGTTCTTTTTTTGGTTTGTTAACTATCACAATTGATGTAAGTTAAAACATTTCTTACCCTCATGTTTGTACGTCGTTTATCAGGTTTATCTAATGTTCCTCTGGAATAAGATCTCATAAAACTTTGACCTAGTGAGCTCGTGCCAATGCTTGAAGAGGACCCAGTGTTCTTTTTTTGGTTTGTTAACTATCACAATTGATGTAAGTTAAAACATTTCTTACCCTCGTGTTTGTACGTCGTTTATCAGGTTTATCTAATGTTCCTCTGGAGTAAGATCTCATAAAACTTTGACCTAGTGAGCTCGTGCCAATGCTTGAAGAGGACCCAGTGTTCTTTTTTTGGTTTTTCCGTGAATAAAAGACCACTTCAGCTTCTAAGGACATTCTACAGAATACATAACATTACTTATGTGTACAAAACATATCGTTACCCATATATCATACAGTTCATGAAACCTCCCATTCATAATCTTCAAGAAATATAACACAATCTAAGAATTCCAGTTATATTACCTACTAGTCAAAATTCATTATGTTCAAGTCATAATCATGAAATTTAAAACACTGTATTGATACTAGACATAATACTTTACCTTTCAGTGATAATCCACAAGAAATTTAACACAATGTAACAATACTGGGTATAATATTCTGTTACCTTCTAATAATAATCAACAAGAAATTTAACACAATGAAACAATACTGAGTATAATATTCTGTTACCTTCTAATAATAATCAACAAGAAAGTTAACACAATGTAACAATACTGGGTATAAAATTCTGTTACCTTCTAATAATAATCAACAAGAAAGTTAACACAATGTAACAATACTGGGTGTAATACTCTATTACAGTGTTTCTCAGATGGTGGGTCACAACTCCAAGCTGTCTGCACTGAGTTGACATTTTATTTAAATAAATAAAGTTGCCATGTTTTTTTTATTCTTGTAAAGATAATGGGGTTGTGACAAGCAAAGCCCAGATGCAGAGGCTATTTGGCAAATCTGCCCAAGAAACACTGCTCCATTATCTTCCAATAATAATCATATGTGCTCAGTTACAATTCATAAGACTTAGAGTTACAGATTTATATTTTTTAGAACCATTAAAAAAATAGTTATACCTAGATACTCCAATATTTCCAAGCAGCATTTAAACATGTAAAATTACGAGATGTACTACTTCAATAACCCCCAGATTAATCCACAAAAATAACAGCATCACATATAATACTTTAACTACCCAGTTATATGCTACACTAGAAGTATAACAATGTAATTAAATTAAATATGCTACCCACAAGTCTCCATTCATTTGTAAAAGCAAGTTGCAAGTTTTCTACAAAAGAATTAATAATGGTCTCATTTTTATTCCCTAATCTACAAACCTTTATTAGAATAATAAACAGTCTCGTGTACTTATGTCATGATCTTTCATTTTCTGTCAGCTAATCAGGACGAATCTTCTTATTTAACTACTAAAACACTCACCTTGCTGGTTGTATTAAGTTATCTAGTTCCGTTGTCAAATGTCTCCGTATGATGTTTTTCGAGCCTGGAATGCCTAGAGCTGTAGCCATGGTGTCAGCAGTAAATGATGGCTCCAACACAACTAAAGCACCATGGACACCACTGCCTTGAAGATTTTCTGCATATTCCTGTATCAATTTAGAAGTAAAACTAGATTTACAGAATCTTTGCTACATGAGCTCAGTTACAATTCATGAGAGACTTGTAGCATTACAGTTATTTATTTGTTTGCTACTGTTTTTCACAAAATATCCAAAAATATGCATCTATACATAGATACTCAATCATATCCTAACAGTATTTAAAGAACTTGTGCATTTAGATACAAAACCACACAACAGGCATTATTTACTACAACTAACATACAGGATGGATCTTGTTTACAACAGCTAACAAACACGATGATCTGGTTCACAACAGCGAACAAACACAATAGTCTGGTTCACAGCAGCTAACAAACACAACAATCTGGTTCACAGCAGCTAACAAACACACAACAATCTGGTTCACAGCAGCTAACAAAACACAGCAGCACAATCTGGTTCACAGCAGCTAACACACGACAATCTGGTTCACAGCAGCTAACACACGACAATCTGGTTCACAGCAGCTAACACACGACAATCTGGTTCACAACAGCTAACACACGACAATCTGGTTCACAACAGCTAACACACAACAATCTGGTTCACAACAGCTAACACACAACAATCTGGTTCACTACAGCTAACACACAACAATCTGGTTCACTACAGCTAACACACAACAATCTGATTCACTACAGCTAACACACAACAATCTGGTTCACTACAGCTAACAAACACAATGGATCCGGTTCACTACAGCTAACAAATACAATGGATCTGGTTTACTACAGCTAATAATTCAAGCCAATAATTATCAAATACCATGTGTTTATAAACTACCAACTTTTCAGTATAAGCTAAGTGCCAATCATCTGCTTATCCAATGCAGTCAGTTTCAGGGCTAACTTGTCACTTTTGTGAAACAGGTAAAAAGCATGCTGTCCATGCAATGACTGCAGTAGCAGGCTTAATTGTACTTACATTTGTCACTTGTTTTCTAAAATAGATTGTTGTCGATTTTTCAGCTATTCCATTTAGTCTAAAAAGTTATAAAAATAATGCAGTCCTGTCATAATAATTGAGATTCATAGATAAATGTTGTTAAGATGTTATGAAACCTCTTTCCCCAGAGCGTGAATAACCAATTTAGCTGAAATGGGCACTTTGTCTCCACTACTATTCTGAAGACACAATTTGATTTTAACATAGAAACAGCATCAATGTAATAGTTAGACAAAATATTTTAAAAGGCAAGGTTTACCTCTAGGTCTATACTTTTCACCCATTTGATAAATCTCTCATTTGTCCACACCAGAGGATCAAGGTCCATATGCTCACAACGTGACCTTCGTTGGGTCAGTATCTATGAAGTTAATGAGCTTGTTCATAATTGAATCAAATCAAATCATTTATAATAATAAATCTTTTTATTTCTATACATTTTTACTAAAAATATATCATATTTAAAAGTGCTGTAAATAAGGTTGAAAGATGCATTAATAAATAGAAGTTAAAAACATTAAAATTATCTATTCTGCTATATGAAACTAGTGCTTAACTATGTAGAACGCAGATTAATAGTGGTATAAATAATCATAGAATATAAAGTTATCATTAGGCTCAAACAATACATTTATATTGAAACTTCTAAAGAAAATTTACAAAATAATTATTCAATTTCAGCAAGAAAACAAAATCTTGTTGTTTTAGGAACAACTCATTAAAGGTAATAACAGAGAGTAATTGATGAAATGAGTAACATGTACCTGCTTATCAAACTTGACTATACGAAGCAAGTGAATGGCGTGCATAATGCTAAGTTGGTGGAATTTCCGAGTAATGTTCAGATGTTTTTCGAGGTCTTTCTTTGTAAGTGTATCAAGCATTCGACCATCCACAAGTTGGTGATTAAATGCCTCACTGTATGCTGTTAAACCTAAACTTGGTAACCATTCATCTACCACCCACATGTGGGACAGGAGGTTTATCTTAGGGTTCAAACTGGAGAAAAGAAAATTATTATATATCTTTTTTTTTTCTCCTTACCACCAATATAAGAAACTTTAATATTCTCTTAAAGCTAAACATTGCAAATATGGATGTTGGAATCAAACTCAAATTGAGAGAATATAGTAATTGTAAAGAAGTCTTTTCATTTGTTTGAAATTAATGTAATCAAGGCTAAACTCCAGGTTCTGGTTGAAACTATATATCCAGTACCGGAAATAATTATGGAAACAATTAATAAAATAGGTATAAAACACAAATATTATGAGATTTCTCTCCTTCAACTGTACAAAAGTGAACTACACCAGGCAAAAGCTGTGTGTTGACAGTTTACACAGTGACTGGTTGTCATCCAACCATCAGACAGTTCTACATCAACATAACTATAAAAGTACAGATAGCCATACTATTCCCAGTAATAGTGTGGTAAATGCACCCACGGCTCGCAGACAGAAATGTCACATGATAATTGAATAAAAATCAGAGTTTTGGCAAGTGGAGGCTACTCCATGTTATAGACAGAGGTGAAATTTTATGTTTCAGCAGGAGTTGTGTGGAAGCACTGAAGAAGGTATGTGAAATTAGTATTGTAGATAATAGAAGCAGTTAAAATAAAAAGCAGAGCCCTCCATAAGTGATGTTAAGTAACTCAATGTATGTTCTTGACTTCAGACAGGATATTGAAATAGAGAGAGAGATCTTACCGAGGCAATGGACCTAAGAACAGGTGTGAATGTTACCTCCAGAACAGTAAGATACACTTTAGCATGAAGTGGCTTGAACAGATCTAATTGTGCAAAAACAACTGCTTAAAAGATATAACCAGAAGACTGATATTGGCATCAGACTACAAACAATGGAATGAACAAAGCTAAAGGACAGTACTCTTTACAGACAAATAAAAATTTTAATTCTTTGGATATAATCAACAATAGTTTGTCCAAATGCAGGGAGGAGAGTACTATCACAATCAACATACAGCATTAACAGTGAAGCATTACATGTGTGGGCTGCATCTTAACCAATGATGTTGGAAATTACACAAAACTGATGGCACCCTAACTGTTGACAAGTCCAAGCACATTCTTATTCATCATTGACATTCCCTCAGGAACAAAACCCATTGGGCAGGGATTCATCTTCCAAAAAGATAACAATCCTAAGCATGCAGCAAATGTAGTGAACTGATAATAGGAAAGTATGAAGCCTGATGGAACACTAGCAATTGTAGTCTGGCCTATACAAAGCCCTAATGAGATTGCAACAAAGTTTTGTACGGCTTATATGGAACTGAGAAAGTCATAGAGCAACCAAACAACTTGGCTGAATTGTGAGCCATAACACATATCATTTGGAACAATATTTCTGTGTTGTGCAACTTACTTGCTTTACTTTGTATTTTCTGTAATAATACATTGTACTAATGATAAATTGAACATTAAGTTACAGTTACTAACTGCTTACGAGTCCTTTATGTGTATTTGTTTCCAGGTTACAATTATAATGGTTAAGACTAATGTAGGAGTTAACTTGTTAGGTGTGATGGGTGCAATGAGTGGGTTTTATTTGGAAACTCAGGACTGGTATATATATTTTTAAGGAAGCTAGTAGTGAAGATGTGCAATTTGTATGTATACGTTTGCAGGTTGAGGGAGAAGTTAGAGGCTATCATAATTAAACTAGAGGCAACAGATAAAGAGAAATGTGGGAAATGGCAGCAGGATTTCAAAGGGAAATCAAGATTTTACATGCAAGGGATACATCACCTAACAATAACTTTCAGGAAGTTAGAAACACTACTATTAGGGCTAATAGTAGTGGATTTAATTGTAATGAGCAATTTCTATTGAGCAACAGTGGTAGAGCAAATAGAATTTTAGGTTGTATTTACAGAAATATTGAATACAAGTCAAAAGAGGTTATAATTTTATTGTGTAGGTCACTAATTAGGCTCCATTTGGAGGTATTGTATTCAGTATTGGGCTCCTTTCCTTAAGAAAGACATTGAATTGTTGGAAAGGGTTCAGAATGGTGCCTGGGATGGAGGGGGGGGGGATGTCATATGAGGAAAGGCTAAGATCTCTGAAATTTTCTCTTGAAAAAAAAACAAAAGAAAAGTTAGAGGGTGTTTAAGATTGTTACACTGATACAGAAGAAATATTTGATGCATAATCGTTTTCATACTTAATGGTGAGAATGGTAGAACTAGGGGGAAACAAATATAAATTTTGGCAGGGTAGGAATATGTACGTGTGTGTGTGTGTGCATGCATGCGTGTGTACAGCTTTATATCAGAATTGGTACAGAATTCGGCAACAGGTTTAAAGTGTTACTAATATTAAAATAAACAATCTAAATGCTATCCACTTAGAAAATTGTACACTAAACACTTGCCATAAAGCAGAATCTCTGTGTTCTTCAATAGCAAGTCTAAGTTTCCTTCGATGCATAGGATTGCTTATTCCAAGACCAGTTTCTAGCTCTCCATCAGATAATTCTAGAAGAATCTGCAAACAGAAGAAATGTATCTTAATAATTTCACAGTGGCATGTTTTTTTTTAAAAAAAAGATGATTATTCTATTTGCTAGTATGAGTAATATCCGTAGGTGATTTTTATAAAAACAGGTACAAAGCTTTAATACAAATGCAGCTACCAAATAAAATAAAATAATCCTGCATTAAAAAAAGTTAAATATTATACATATTTTCTTCTCACACCATGGACAAGTTTGTTTTAACTATTTACACAAAGCTACATTAAGACTATCTGCACTAGCCTTTTCTGGTTTTGAACTGATAAGCTATAGAGAATTTAGTAAGTCAACAAAATCTCCCACTAACTCTTGGGCTACTCTAATTGGGCCCAAAGTAAGATTGGGATTTTGAGACAATCCAGTATACTAATCACAAGTCATACCCAATCCCCTCTTGAACAAAAGCATAGGATTCGTTTATTGTTAAAAGTCAGGATGCAAGTTATGGAAGATCAACAAAAGTCAAGTATGACAACAGTTCCTGCTTATTTCTACTGACTAACAATATGACATCTCCTAGTTTCAAGGTAAATGACACCGGTTATTTCTACTGACTAACAATATGACATCTCCTAGTTTCAAGGTAAGTGACACTGGTTAATTTCTACTGACTAACAATATGACATCTCCTAGTTTCAAGGTAAATGACACTGGTTATTTCTACTGACCAACAATATGACATCTCCTAGTTTCAAGGTAAATGACACTGGTTATTTCTACTGACCAACAATATGACATCTC